ACTAGCTCTTGTAGACCAGGCTGGTCTCGAACTCACAGAGATCCGCCTGCCTCTGCCTCCCAAGTGCTGGGATTAAAGGCGTGCGCCACCACCGCCCAGCCCCTTTTGCCTATTTTCTGTGTGGTTGTTGGTTACTTTCTAGTGATTTGTCTTCATTTCTCCGCATTTTGTTTGTTACTCCCATTTCCTCTTCCATGTCAATATTGTGTTTTCTTTCTTCCTTTTTCTGTGTGTGTGTGTGTGTGTGTGTGTGTGCGCGCGCACGTGCACACAACTCTGGGAATGGTGCTTGGATCCTCTGCAAAAGCAGCCAGTGCTCTCCACCATCTCTGGGTTTTATGTAATTTCTTATATTTCTTTCTAGTACTTGTCTGGTGTGAGCGTTTGCATCTCGCTCCCACTCCATCTGGCCCTGTAGGAATGAGGTAGGGCTCCAACTTCCCCTCCCCCTCACGGTCCCCTAGTCGCCTCCACACCATGTAATGAATATTCATCTTTCCCCACAGATCTGCAACACATTTTTATTATATACTGAACTTCTACATATACTTCGATGTCTTTCTGGACTCCATCCTGTACCAGGAAATTTCACTACTTGCTGTCTTCTGCAAAGTGTGCCTGTCAGAGCTCGAATTAACCCTAGCACTCAGGAGGACTCAGGAGACAGAAACAGGCAGAACTCCGTGAGTTCCAGGTCATCCTGGTCTATAGAGTGAGATCCTGCCAGAAGAAGAAAGAAGGAGGAGGAGGAGGAAGAGGAGGAGGAGAACCGGGGAGGAGGAGGAGGAAAGAAGAAGAAGAAGGAGGAGGAGGAGGAGGAGGAAGGGGGAAGGAGGAGGAGGAAGGAGGAGGAGGAGGAAGGAGGAAGGAGGAGGAGGAGGAAGGAGGAGGAGGAGAAGAGGGGGAGGAAGAGGAGGAGGAGAAGAGGGGGAGGAGGAGGAGGAAGGAGGAGGAGGAGAAGGAGGAGGAAGAGGAGGAGGAAGGAGGGGGAGGAAGAGGAGGAGAAGAGGGGGAGGAGGAAGGAGGAGGAGGAGAGGGGGAGGAGGAGGAGGAAAAGGAAGAAGAAGAAGAAGAAGGAGGAGGAGGAGGAGGAGGAGGAGGAGAAGGAGAAGGAGAAGAAGAAGAAGAAGAAGAAGAAGAAGAAGAAGCAACAAAACAAAACCCCAAAACCCAAAACACACATACACAAAACAGCACCTGCTTGACCTTCAGAACTGGCTAGTGTTTGGAGGGAAAAAATAGTGTTTTTATTTAGAGTTCATCAACTGTTTACGTTGTTTTTAGAGCTTTGGCATCCTTATAATGATCTCAGTTAACACTGAGGGGTTGAGGAGAGCCAAGGGGTAGGGAACTTATGTAGGTTGTACAAGGCTCTGGCTGTGATCTCCACCACACACGCACACACACACATACACACACTTGTGTTAGTTTCATTGTTTTGCTTCTTAGACAGGTTCTCCTTGTGTAGCCCAGGCTGAACCGGCATTCACAGAGCTCCACCTTCCTCTGCTTCCTGAGTGCCAGGACTAAAGGCATACACCACTATGCTTGACTGCACACATAAAATTTTTTAAATTAAAAATAATAAAATATTTTTTTAAAGAATCATTTAGAGAATGGTAGAGGGGCATCCGACCTCCTCCTCTGGCCTCAGTGCACACATAGGAGGCTCGCGCTAGCATGCATGTGTGTATAACACTCACACAGCACAGGAAAAGGAAACAAACAGATGTGCTTGGTAAAGGCCAGGTCACAGGGACACATCTGGTTATTCCAGAATTCAGATGGCAGAATGATTCCAGAAGTTCAAGGCCAGCCTGGCCTACATCGTTCCAGGCCAGCAAATGTTATACAACAAGACCTGATCTCAAAAGAAAGAAAAACACTTCTTGAATATTCTAGTACATGTATTGATTTCTAACTTCAGGAGGTTACACGACACTTTGGGCTCAAACAAACCAACAAAATAATAACTAAATAAACTTTGTTTATACATTTCTACTGTGCTGGGATTAACAGGACCCTTGCACATGCTGGGCCAGAAATCAAGCTGCCTTGATTTTGCTTCTTTCCTTCCTTCCTTCCCCACTCCCCCAACTCTCTGCACAGGCAGCCCCGGCCTGAACTGGCATCCTCTTCGCACAGCCTCCCTGGTGCTGGCTGGAGGCCTGAGTCACCGCTATGCTCAGCTTCCTTCTGATTTTCCCTTTGTCCTCCCAGAGCTGGGGATACAGCCAGAACCAGCTAGACAAGCCACCGAGCCACCCCCAGCCCTAGGCCCCCAGATTCTTCTCTCTGGAAACAAGTCACCGACCCAGGGCTCTGGGAGACAGAACACGGCAGGGGGCGGGGGGAGGGCAGGGTACATACAATCTTTGAAATTCTTCTGAGAGAAAAATAAGTTTATTCTCTTGGGATTGTTTGCATATTCTAGCATTTTCATCAGTGTGGACTTACGGATCAGTTTTTGTGTTTGTTTTTTGGTTGTTATATATTTGTGTGCATGTGTGTGGGGTCAGCATGCACACGTGTGAAAGTCAACTCCATCTTTCTTTTTGAGATGGTATGTCCAAGCCTAGGATCCTCCTGTTCCCCCTCCACATGGGATTACAGGCACACTGCCTCACCCAACTTTTGATGTGGAGCTGGGCATCGCAGCTCAGGTCCTCAGCCTGCAAGCACTTTGCTGACTGAGCCGTCCTCCCAGGCCTTGTTTTGTTCTTGCTATCCAGCCTAGACAGGCCTTGAACTCAGGATCCTCAGCCTCAGGCTCCTGTGTGCTCAGCTCACGAATACCTGAGCAAGCCGGCCACATCATTGTACCTCCGCTGGAAGGGCTCCAGGCCCCAGGAGCCTTTTCCTGCCCTACTCTGTCCCTTTGACACACCATCCTTGTGCTAATTTATTTGTTTTGGCATTTCCTTTTTTTCCTGACTGCCCAAGCTATTCTGGGCTGTGTTTGTCCTGTCCCAGCCTTACAGCAGGTCATTTCTCAAAGAGCCTGGTTCCTGTCACTGAACACAGAGTACGGAACCGAGCCCTGGATCTGAGTGTGCTCCTTACTATTCAGAGTGTCACTTAGGTCCTCACGACTGACAGAACGGGAAAGCCTGGGTGCCCGCTCACCATGTAGACACAGCATCCTGCGGCCGCGTCTTTACTTTACGTATAAGATGGAATTGTTTTCTCTGGGAAGATTTTCGTTCCCTAATCTCATTGTGTCCCACAACTCTATGAGGTCCGGATTAGGAATTTTAATAATTTAAACTTATTTTCCTAAATATTTATTTCGAGACAGGGTCTTGCTATGCAGTTCCTTGTGCTCTGGGGTTACCCATGTGTGTGACCACCATCAGCGGGGTTACCGTCCCTTTGAGAGAGGTGGGAACCGAGGCTCCGAGGGCTTGAGCAGCCTGCAGAGACGACACAGCTCTGGAAGGAAGATCTGCCTGCTGAGGGCTCTTTAGCACCTGAGCTGACTCTTTGTCCCTTCAGGAGGGTGAGGCCACCGTGGATAGGAACATAGTGCCTGGTGTCTGAGCAGTAGGGGACCCCCATTTAATGCTCAGGGAGGTGAGTACGAGCTGGGACAGCTGGTGTGGTGTCATGATTGTAGGCAGAACAGTGATGTGGCCTGGGGGAGCCTAGGCCAAAGGCCCCTCAAGCTGATGCAGGCTGAACCCCAGGGAAACACTGGAACTGGGCTCCCCAGAAAGAAACCATATGGTGCAGGTCAATAGGATAGATCTGAAGATATGTCTTAAAAAATCAGAGTGTGACCTTCACATTGCTGCCTGAGAGGCGAGGGCAGCAAACTGGGAAAGGGAAGGGCCTCCCAGCCTGGCTTGCTCAGCTGCTCCCCCAGGCCACTCCACTATCTGGGGCTTTGTTTCTACGGGCTTAGCTTAGGAGACATGACAGCCTCCCTCTGGCTCAGATGGGCAGAGAGCTGAGCTCAGCTCTTCACTACACCAGTCTGGGTAAGTGTGAACTGCTGTTGGTAACTCTGGTGTGCAAGGGATTTGTGGGGTCCTGGGGGCCGTCCCAAGGATAGCATCTTCCACGGTTCTAGGAATACGCAGGCCAGGTATAGCACTGCACACGTGACCCCAGCGCTCAAAAGACTGGCACAGGATTAAAATTTTGAGGCCAGCCAGGCCAAAAACAGACATCTGGGCTGTGGTTGCACATGCCTTTAATCCCCGCCCTTGGAAGGCAAAGGCGGGCAGATCTCTATGAGTTTGAGGCCAGCCTGGTCTACAGAGCTAGTTCCAGGACAGGCTCTAAAGCTACAGAGAAACCCTGTCTTGAAAAACCAAAATCAAACCAAAACAGATAAACACTGGCTTCAACGTCTCACTGGGGGCCAGACGTGCCTCCACAATGTCGCTAGCGACTCCAGAGGAAACCCACCATGGGCACTCAGCCAAAAAAAGGAATCTGACGTTTTAGTTTTAGAGAACTCCAGCGCTGGGCCCTAAGACACACACAGCCCCAAAGACCAGCCTGGTGTCTGCCCTGCTCCCCGCCGTGTGGTAAGAGGAAGGGAATTTATCTACTCGCTTCTTTGTTTCTGGAAGCAGCTCGTAAAATCCTGAAGCCTGAAAACCTTTAAACGGAAGAGGAGTCATTCTAGGGAAACTCAGCAAGAAGGGGAAGGGGGCGGGGAGCCAGCTGTCACTTGTCTGAATGTGAAGGCCTAGACTGTCGCTGCTGTACAGTCCCTAGCGGCTGGAGCAAGAAGGAGCCAGACCAGGCCTAGGTCCGCTCCGGGACAGGAAGATAATCCAGCCTCCAAGCACTACCCCTGGCAGCTGACACCTGCTTCCTGTGGGAGGGTCTGCATTCTCCCCCTTCACAGGTTAGTTTCTCCCGCCCTTTCTTCCGCTAGTGCCTTTAGAGCCCTAGTTCAAAGTACTTCTAGAGCCTTCCGGCTAGACTTGCAGTACTTGTTGAATAGGTGACTGAATGACCGCCTTGGTTAGGGGGAGGTCACGTGTCTGCATTTCGCAGTATCTGGGTGGAGGGCAGAGGCTTGGAAGTTCTTCCATATGTGTGGAGATGGCAGAGCCAGATGGAGGCTGGGCAACCCAGACTTTCCAAACTGTCAGAGGAGCTTCGGTGCTTGCCCCGTTCGGATGGCATGATGTCTCCCTCTGAGGGATTCTATGCAGTAACCCGTGAATCTGGATCTGTTTCTGCATCTCCAACCTCTTGAGGCAGTGGTTTGGGGCTGAGCTTCTGAGCAGAGATTTGTGTGCGGGCTCAAACCCTTCTGTCCCCACCTCCCCTCAGGCTAGTCCTCTGAACCCTGTTCTTCTGGTCATTTGCCCTCGTGGGTGTAAAGAAGGTGGAAGGGTCTCAGAGGAGATGCAGGTTCGGACTAGGGTTCCGCTGTTCTTACTTGGGGACGCCCCTCTCCAGCCTCAGTTTCCTCCTCCCTAAACCAAGAATACCAGGTTAAGGTTTCAGGTTCAAAGATGACGCAGGGTAAAGCTCAGAAAAGGACTTGGCGCTTAGGGTCTCAGGCCATAGGAGGAAGCCTTGAAGCCACGGGTCAACGCTGCTGGCGGGGACGGAGATCCAGGAGATTTGTCCAAGGTCACTCAGCCCGAGGCCGGGTCTGACCCCAGGTGGCTTGATTCCCGGGACCTGGGCTTGGCCAACAGCCAGGTTGCAGCTAGCGGTGTTGGAGGAGCGGAAGGGGCTTCTGTTTCAGAACGGTTGAGGGGAGCACGCTGTCCCCTGGGGGACTAGGCACTAACGGGGCTGCAGACACTGAGCCCTGACCCTCCCCGGGAGGGGCGGGGCGGGCAGTTACCTCATCGCCGCCTCCGAGAGGCCCTGCTCGCTCGCTTGCTCGCCCGCGCGGCCGGCTGGGGCGCGGCTCCCGGCGCCGGAGCGAAGAGGACAGAGCTGCGGGCGGGGGCGGGTCTGCGCCGCGCCGGGTGCGCTCTCCCAGCGGGGCTGCGGGTTTGTCTGCCCGCTCGATCCTCGGGCCTGGCCTCTTACTGCCCAGGTGCTGCAGGCGGCGCGACGCGGGTGTCTTCGGCAGGGCGCGCACGGCGCGGTGCCGGCTCATGAAGCTCCCCGGCACCGGGCGCGGGGGCGCGGGCCAGCCATGGGCGGCAGCCTGCGTGTGGCTGTTCTGGGTGCTCCGGGAGTGGGCAAGACTGCCATCATCCGCCAGTTCCTGTTCGGTGACTATCCCGAGCGCCACCGGCCCACAGATGGTCCTCGCCTTTACCGGCCCGCCGTGCTGCTCGACGGCGCTGTCTACGACCTGAGTATCCGCGATGGTGACGTCGCTGGCCCTAGCTCAAGCCCCAGAAGTCTTGAGGTAGCGGTTCGAAGGTGGCCAGGGGTGTGTGTGTGTGTGTGTGTGTGCTTGGTGCCCACGTGCGTGTCCACGTGGACTGACCCAGGGCGCCCCAGCGTGTTACGGAATTAAAGAGTATGTCTTGCAGTACCGCATGGGAGCCTCCTGCACTAGCCTAGAGGCACCCGTGGCTGTTTCTTGTCACCGTGAGTTCTGGTGTCTTTCTTGCCTGCCTGGGCTGGTGGCGTGTGGCACAGTACTGTCTGAGCTGAGCCACTGTGATAGACTGAGCCAGACATAGATACAGGAGCATCTTTTCTAGAGGGGGTCAGTGCTCCCTCATTCCTGTGTTCTGGATCAAAAACTCAGCGATTTGTGCAAAGTCCCAGACAGACTACTAGTCTTTGGCGCTGGATGCCTTTGAAGACTTCTCAGAGGGGTTGGCAGTTGAGCAACACCTGGGAGGCTAAATGGATAAAGGAAGCCGTAAGAATATTGCAAGGGGAAAGAGCAGCAGGTGCTTAGGGCAGAGGCATCACCTGTTCAGCTGCACCGGGACAGTCACAACATCTGCTGGCTGGTGGAAGGCCGATTCCGGGGTCCGCAGCGGGCAATTAGAGTAGCAGTAGTTGTATAGGTTGCGGGGATATTAGTCTGACGGGAGGTCCCGGACGGAGGGAGAGTTCGGGACTGACAAGATCCAGGCACGCCGGGAAATCTAGACTGAGGGAGGGTGCATACAGAGTTTGGGAGGTGATGGGATCTGAGGAGGAACCATGGGGTTTTGGAGTACGTCCAGCTGTCTCTACCCCCAGGAGTGGCCAGACCCTAAAGAATGGAGCTTGCAGGACACAGACGCCTTTGTGCTGGTTTACGACATCTGCAGCCCCGACAGTTTTGATTATGTGAAAGCCCTGAGGCAGCGCATAGCGGAAAACAGGTGAGACTTGGCTGGCGGTGGAGGTCTGCTTAGGGGAGCGGGTAGTTCTGATTTGGGTGTTTTGGGATCATACTTTGTGCCCTTGAGGCCTCCCGCTGTATGAGGTCTTTGGAATACCCGGGGGTCTCTGGCAGTAGGAAGGGACCCGCCTGCATTTGTACACATGAGGAGGAGGCCACGGAGTCTCCAGCACTGCGTCTCTCATATCCATCCGGCCTCCAGGCCCGCAGGCGCGCCAGAGGCCCCCATTCTCGTGGTAGGCAACAAGCGGGACCGTCAGCGGCTGCGCTTCGGACCTCGTCGTGCACTGGCCACTCTAGTACGCAGGGGCTGGCGCTGCGGCTACCTCGAATGCTCAGCCAAATACAATTGGCACGTGCTGCGTCTCTTCCGAGAGCTTCTGCGTTGTGCTCTAGTGCGCACACGTCCTGCGCATCCGGCCCTACGACTGCAGGGGGCGCTGCATCCAGCGCGCTGCAGCCTCATGTGACTGGAATGGACAGGGAAATCTCATAAAAGCAGGCTCCCACCCAGTTTCCTAGCCGACAGGCTTTTCTTTGAACTTGATTGGACCCAGCCAACTCCCAATCATTCAACAAGATCAATTTTATCTGAGACCTTATTGGGTCACAATCGCTGATGGAAAGGACTGGAATATGAACATGGCTGGAAGCATTCGTACAGCTCCTGGCGCTTTACTGCAAATACCTTCTGGTTTTGGCTTTTTGAGACAGGGTCTCAAGACATAGGCCTGACTGACATTGAACTACAAAGATCCACCTGCCTCTGCCTCTCCAGTGTTGGACTATTGGAGCTACTTTTTAAGTCATGCCTTACCAGGTAATAAAAAACAATTTAAACGCACAATTTAAGGGTTTCTTGTTCTGGAATAGGCAGGTCGGAGCACTGAGGTTTAGCCTCGAGGCAGTTAACTCTAGAATCCCAGCATATAATGAAGGCTCAGTCCCCAAAAAACAGGAGCTGGAGCAAAACTTTACTGTCAGAGGTTCTGTTTACTGGACACCAGGCTGGCCCAGTATCCTCTAAGGCATTCAATAATATTAGTAATTAAATAGCAACACTCATCCCTGAAACCGGAATGTACAACAGGTGTCTCATTGTGCCATGTGGTCCCGTGGGGTCTGGTCCCATGAGGTCTGGTGCTCAAGAGGTGGAAGGGGGTCCCTGATGCAGAGGGTAGGTTAAGGCCACAAAGAAAATGGAATGGGGTATGGGTGCGGCTGAGCCGGTCCATCACATTCAGGAATCTGGTTGGGTCCTTGGGGTGACCGACTGCAGGGAATGCCAAGCCCCGAGCTCCATGGGTCCTGATGGGCGGCGGGGTCCCCGAGGTGTGGGGATGCGTGAAGGTTTACGGTCTGGTTGTGTGTCCATCCGCCCCCTTGCCAAGGTCAGAGACGGTTCTGGGCCAGTTAGAGAGCTGGTTGCATCCACTGCCCCCCCTACAGCAAGGCAGGGGCTGCCTTCATCAGAGGAGCTGGACAGAGCTTGGCTGCGGGGTGTAGGCAGCCCATTGGCTGTGCGGCCTGATTCCCCGGGTTGGCCACACTTGCCACCCAGGACACTGAGTGATGAAGATGAAGAGCTGGACGAACAGTAAGCAGAGTCCGGAGCTGGGGGGTCAGGGGCTGGTCCCATGGGGGTACGGCTGGCGGCAGCCTCCAAGGCTCGGGAATTGGCCAAGAACTCCTCTTCCAGTCGCCGGAACAGCTGCTGCTCCTGCTGTGGATCAAGCTGCAGCGGTGTGCGGAAAACGCTGGCGGGTGTGGCAGCCAGCTCTGGGCTCGGGCTGGGGCCCCGGGAAGGGCGGGGCGCCGCAGGGCTGCGAGCACGTGGAGTCTGTGGGGTGCTCCTTCCAGAACCCCCCGGCCCCCCGCCACCCCTGCCCCGGGCTATCCACGAGTGCTGCCCGTCTTGGTCCCTCCGCACCATCAAGACCGCCTGTTCCTCGCGGCTCTGGCTACGGGCACGACGCACGGGGCTGGAGGCCGAAAGCTGAGCGCCTCGGCCTCCCGGGGTCATGCGGGGCCGTCCCCGGTCCAGCCGGTCTCGAGACTGGCTGCGAGGGGTGGGCGGCCGTCTCGGGGAGGCGGGGAGGCCAGAGGTCAGCCGGTGGCTGGGCTGCTCCCTCCTGAAGCTAGTGGCCATGTCGTCGCTGCGGGCACCCAGGGAGCCGCTCTTGGCCGAGGAGGCTGAGGAGGAGTCACTGTCCCCGGAGTAGCGGCGGGAGCGGGGGAGGGGGGGCAGCTGATCTCGGGGCCTGAGGCGGGGAGCGAGAGAGATGTGCATCACTGGCGCGGGTGGAGAGAGCTGGTGAGGCTTGGGCTTGGCCAGGGGACTTCCAGGACAAGTGAGTATCCCGGGTGAGGCCGCTACTCCCCGCCCCAGGTTTCCGAAGTCTGGGTTGGACGGGCCACCGCCTGGAGCCCGCCCCAGCTGTGTTGTTGGTTTGTCTGGGTTACCATGGAGATGGAAAGCCAGGCCCGCCCCCACGCACGGGAACTTTTCCCAGGGTGTGAGTCACCGCGCCCAAGCGGACGCCCCTCCCCCACCAGCCCCGGTAGCTTCTCTGCCTTCCAGCTTCTCACCTGAGCGGGACCTCAGGCCCCTCCTTTGTGCTTCGCAGGCTGACGGGGGTCATTTCTGGCCGGGAGCCCCGGCGTTCACTTCCAGGGACTGGACTACCAGGGCGGGGACTAGGAGTGGGTGATCCCCTCCGTGGGGAGAAAGTCCCGGCCCTCTGTGAGGGCAGACGGTGGGCTGTGGGGATGGATGCTGTGGGTGAGGGCAGGGCCTCAGAGACCAGTCCCTCCCTGCCGGTGGCCTACACTCCCACCCGGCACTTACCAGTGGACGAGCAGCGGCATGGGTCATGCTTGTCTAGGTAGTGCTCCAGTGTATCCCAACCGCCACCCACGCGAACCATCACGTGGCTCCTCAGCACCTGCAGGTCAGAGGGCAGGTTAAGCGGGCCTCCTAGACACGCCCTGGGTGGCTAGACTTGGCTTTTCCGACCCCACTTACCCTCACAAAGATGAGCAAGCTGGAGTCTCCTACTCGGTACTTCCCCTCCGAGACCTTGATCATGGGGAACTGGTCCGGGCAGGTGCAACGACCCAGGATCTCCCTTACCTGAGGCCAAAGACCAGAGCCTGAAGGTCAAGGATCAAGTCCCTCCTTCTGGGGCTTAACAGCAGCAGCAGGACAGGAGGAAGTGCCCACTCCCTCCCACACAGGACCTTTTGCCAGCTCACTGTCGGGGCTCTGAGAACTCTCGAGAGTTCTGGAAGCCAACCAGAGAGGATAGGGCTGCAATCAGGTCAGGGACTGTTCTCTGGAAGAAACTCCCTGAGAAGCCTTAAGCCCAGGAGAGTCCTGGAGCCATCCACAGCCAAGCCAGGATGCGCACAGGAGGCCCATGCTCCCATCTGAGCATCCCAACCAGGGGCACCATGTGGAACACACGCACCGCACCGACAGGCACAGAGGCCTGACAAGCATGCATGTCAATAGAGGCCAGGCTGCGGTGACAAGCTGGCTCTGTGGGAGTCTATCCTCCCTACCAACAGAGGCACCAAAGGGAATGGGCAGGTGGGGCCTTGGGTGACCCAGGCCCGGGCTGGGGGTGGGTGTGGACGGCAGCCACACAGCGCCTCTAGAAAGGCACATCGTGGTCCAGAGCTCCTGATAAGAAGGAAACTCTCGGTCCAGCTGCGGGGAGTGCGGGGGCGGCAGGGACACCTAGGTCTTGGGAAAGGAGGAGGGAGCTGGAAGCCTGGACCTCCTATGCTCCAATAGCATTTCCTGTTCCCAGCAGCAGCCATAACGGGGCTAGGCTTTCCATCTGGGCACCAGAGCTGAGGTCTCCCCAGACACCGTTTGCACCTAGCCTAGGCCGGAGGCAGCAGGCGCTCAGCCTGAGGTCTGTCTAGCACCCGTGTGCCAAAAGATGCCCCAGTCAGTCCTCCAAATGAAGCAATGCACCGAACTGTGTTGCTGCTGACTGAATACAAAAAGAAGAGCTCATGCCAGAAGCTGGGCTTTTATCTGCTCAGACACAGCTGGGCTGTGTGGTCTAACTCTGCCTCTCTGGCCTTATCCAGTTTTTTGTGTCCAGGTATACACCCGGCAGTCACCATACATACCACCCTTTCTGTGGGGCAGGCTGCAGAGAGTGGGCCCCCGGAGGCTCAGGGATGGGATGGGCATTAGCTCTGCCATCTGGCCCCCAGGTGAGGAGGGTGGGCAGGGGCCACCCAGTGTGTGTCTCAGAAGACTCACCAGCTCATCGAGGTTCCGAAGGTCATTGGGTGTCATACGGGGTGTGCGCGTGTGAGCCCCGGATGCAGCGACAATTTCAGTGGTACCCTCTTCAGCAGCAGGGACGCTGGATACCTGAGGGGCAGCCTGCAGCTCCTGCTCAATTTCCTGCTCAAACTGTACCAGCCTCGGGGCTAGCAGGCCGAGGCGCGCTCCGCGCCGGGCCACCTCCAGCAGGCACAACACCACACTCTTCTCGTTCTTGCGCAGCACCAGGTCCTCGGTTTCAAACATGAGCACTTCAGGCACCCCCAGCTCGGCCCGGCACCAGCCGATGAAAGTGGCCACGTTGTCTCGGGCCAGGAAGGAGCCAGGCGCCACACTGTGTGCCTGGAAAGCTACACCTCGGGTTGGGCGGGCAGCAGCCAGAGCGCGGGCAGCCTCGGTGACAGCGTTGGCATGTTGGCACAGGGTTGTGCCTGTGGCCAGCCCTGTGAGGAAGCCATCACCACTACCGGGTAGACCTAGACCGTACAAGGCATTGAGCCAATCGGCCAGGTCTTCCTTCATGGCTTCCACGTAGGCCTCACTGGATCTGAAGGGCCGCACACTCTTGGCCGCAGAGCCCGCGATGCCCGCCACTGGGTCCGCCATGCCCAGGGCCAGTGGAGTCACTGTAGGCAGGAGACAAAGGTCAGGATTGCCGTGGAGACCCGCATGGACTCTCCCTCTGCAGCCTGCCACTGTGGCTACAGTGCCATGGCCTGCTCCAAAGCGCTCAATGAAGTTCACACCATCTTAGTGTTTGTTTGCTGTCTGGCTCTGAGGGGTGGCTGGCACCCGCGGGGAAGAAACGCCACTTAAAGACATGTGGGCAGGGAGGGCCAGGAGAGGGGCCTCGCCCAGGCAGGACCACAGAGGGGCAGTTTCCACGGCTCAGCCCAGAGCCCTCACGAAGTCCCCGCCTTTTCCTCACCCCTCCGCTAAGGGCCGCGCCACCGGCTGCGCGGCGACGCTATCTCCATTCTACAGATGAGGAAACTGAGGCGCAGAAAGGGCAGGCGCTGGCAGAAGGTCGCGGAGCAGTGGGTGGAAGAGTCGGGTCGCCCAGGCAGGCTCTGACTTCTGGGAGAAGCCGTCCCTGGCCGGTGCCTGAAAGACCCGGACTCCGAATGAGCCCCGCGAGCCTCCGCAGTGCTCGCGGCCTGGTCCAGAGAGGGTGCGTGGCCGGTCAAGGTCACACAGCCCTGAGAAGCGGAGGCCCCGCACCGCCCGGCCCACCTCCGGGCACCCAGGACAGGGATCCTGGGAGTCCCCGCGCTCACCTGGTTCACCTCGCCGCCCCGCGGAGCATCGCCCCGGCGGGGCCGGAGCCGGGCCGCGCCGCCGCACACAGGCGCCGCCCGAGCTCGCAGCATCCCGGCGCCGGCTCCGCCCCGCCCCCCTGGAATTCGGATCCGGCCAGGAAGGGGCGGGGCCGCGCTCTTAAAGGGGCCGCGCTCTTCTCGACCCTTAGACCCCGAGGCGGGCGAAGATGCCTTCTTGACGATCTTTCACTCTTGATCTGCCACCTCCTCAGTCCTGGATCTCCCGAGGAGGAGTTCGGACTCTTTTAGTAGTCCTCCCTCCGCGACAATGGCCTTCCCGGAAGCGATAGGGGCCCGGACTGCAGAGTCACCTCCTTCCCTGGTGGACCTCTGCAGGCCAGATAACCCGA